ATTAGCCTGCGGTACCGCATTCTAACCACCGCGCCCCCTACAAAGGTCCCAAACAAAGGATGACAGTCGTAAAATACTTGTTTATTAGGAGGTAAACGTGAAATTGATTTTGGCTATTTTGCAGCCTCACTGCACTTCTGCATTTTTTTTGTTTTGTTTCGTTTCTCTTGGCAAGCAACCACATTTCTAAGTGCCGAAGCTTTCATTTATTATTAAGGCTACCTATGTATTCTTATATGGTTTGGGATGGTTCCGGAAATTGGAAGATTTGCTTTGCTCCTCTACTAGAAATAAGGAAGGGAGGAGATCAGACTTCGATCCGAGTCTTTATGGCGGTTATAAATCCTTAGCAGAACACAGGAATGTAAGCATTCAAGCACAGTAAACAAGTTTACTTGGATGCCAAAGTTCTCAGCAGACAAATCCAAGATCCAAAAAATTAAAGCTACCGTCTTTTTTGGACTATAAGATGCACTGGAGTATAAGACACACCAAGATTTTGAAGAGGTACATTTTAAAAATATGTTCTTGCCCTCCCCAGCCCCCAGGAGCAGGGCTCCCAAACCCTCTGCACACCCTATTTTTTGTGAAACACGGGGCATGCAGAGAGTTTGAGAGGACTGCAAAGTGATCCTGGGGGCTGGGAGGCTGTTTTTCACTTGTTTCCCCCCTCCCCAGCCCCCAGTAGCATTTTGCAGACGTCCCAAACCCTCTGCATATCCATTTTTGCAAAAATCGGGATGTGTGGGGGCAGGGTTTCGGGAGGCCAAAACATGCTGTATTCAGTGGGTAAGATGCACCCAGATTTTCACCCTCTTTTTTGGGGTGGGGGGAAAAGTGCATCTTATACTCTGAAAAATACGGTAATTACACCATGCCAGCATTGAGCTGCTTCCGGTTTGGATGAACTGGTAGTTGCGATCTGCAGGTGGGCCTCCCCTCCGGGCACAATCCCATTCTATATCACTATGTTTTTGATGCCATGTGCATGCAGGGAAAGTGCGCGTGAGCAAATTGCCATGTTTTTTGATGCCGCATGTATGTGTGGATGGCGAGCGAAGCAAGCATGCGCGCGTGCTCCCATTTCCGGTGCTGGCCGAACCAGTTGTTACAGTATGTGATGTGCACCTCTGTGCCAGAGGTGGGTTCCTACCAGTTCGCACCTATTCGGTAGAATCAAATCTACCGAACCGGTTAGAAGAGGTTCCACCAGTGGACCCG